TCCCCCCCCCCCCCCCCCCCCCCCAAACGTAACTAACTACTACGTTTTGCTGCACCTATAGTAGAATTTAGGCTATAGATTATTTTCTCCATGAGTGGAACTAACCTCTCAAGAATCAAGCCTTAACCCTTTTTTCCCTGTGGAAAGAGACGACCTGAATCCGTTGCGTTTTCGTAAAATAACAAAAAAATCTACTGCCGCAACGCTGAGCGTCGTACGCACTGCTAACCGACCGCCTGGACTCTCACAAAGTCTTCTCCCTGTTTGCCCAACGTTGTGTATTTAGCAGTATTCCCCCCCACTTCATTCCCCCGACCGGCCGTATCCGAACACATTCATTCCATTACAGTGCCAACTATATTCTTAAACTATCCTACGACCAGTACTACTGCTGCAGAAAAACGCCGAGCTATGACAACGCACCCTTTTGTGTAGTATCGCGTCATCACCAACTATCCAACAAACGTGGTGTTGAGCGATGATGGTCGTTGCTACGTTGGAATAGTGGTATTGACCTGTTGTTTTGATGCTCGATCTCACGTACATACGACTCCCGTAACTGGTAATAACAAATGAATGCAAACGCAACTGCGTACTGCTGCTTTCAACAGTAGAATTCAGGCTAGATTAGTTGTTCCCTGAGTGACCTCACTGCTAGAATACAGCCTAAACCCTTTTTTCCCTGTGGAAAAGAGACGAATTGAATCCGTTGCGTTGTTTTGTAACAATGAAATATAATCTATGTCGCAACGCTGAGCGTCGTACGCATTGCTAACCGACCGCCTGGACTCTCACAACGTCTTCTCCCTGCTCGCGTGGTTTAGACCATGGCCACTTCAACCAACAACCAAGAGTCGACCACCAAGAGCCGACCACCACGCCGCCCAACCAATCAACCGACCACGTTGAAAACGTTTGCGGTGGGGACCCTCACAACCTTACGCTTCCTCTGGAGCACGACGATCCCCGCTCCGCCCCTGGGGCAGGGCTCAAAGCCGATCACCGTCATGAGCTTTCCGTCGGTCCGCGGATCGTCCACGCCAAGCACCCTCACCACCGAATCAAAGGCGAAGGGGGGGACTTCCTCGTCGGAGGCATCATCATCATCATCATCATCGTCATCATCATCATCATCATCATCATCATCAGTTGGCGCGTTAGGGCCGCCGTTTCCTCCCGGTCCCCTCACAAAAAGGTCGCCGTATGAGGGGGGTGAACGGGCTTGACTCGACGTCGTCAATTCTCCATACTTGGGCGGCCCTGCAACCGCCGCCACAACGCCGGCCGGCATCCCGTGATACGGTGGCATCGCAACAGCGGCAGCTTGGCCATCGTTGCGTGGTGAAGGTGCACCGATGGTGTCGTAGCTCGGCGGCGGCGGCGGCGGCGGCAGCGGCACCGCCGGCGATGGGCTTGGTTCAGGGGTCGCCGCGGCGGGGGTGGTGTTTACCCGTCCAAGCTTCTCGGCCTGCTGCGGCCGGCGGCGGTGGTCTCTCCAGATGCAGGAGACGCAAGCATCCATGTTGCATAGCCTACACAGTCGAAGCGGGGCAAGAGCAAGTGTTGTGGATTCATCGCACAGTTCGCGTGCCGAATTTACCAATCGTGGTGATGCCATCACTACAAACTGGCTGGCCTGCAATACGGAGTCACACAGAGAAAAAGCTCTTTCTGTGTATGCGTGCGTGTTCGCGTCTTCCCGTTGCAAGATTGGTATTATTCTTCTTTGGGAGGAAGGCAAGGCTGGGTTCTGTTCAGGCACAGCATTCATTTTTGGCACCGAGCGCGTGAAAATGGAGGAGGTACGGATAACTAGCCCACCAAATACGCCAAGCATTATTCTCAACGCAACCTACAGAATAAGGCTTGCTAACATGGGATTCAGGCCAAGCTAGGGAAAACCGCCAAGAGGCCGAAGGGTCTGCACAGATAGACAGGTGAACAGGCAACGACTGAAAACTGGTACGTACATTTCTCGAAAGTCTGAAGCAACGCAAAAAAATCAAATCTCTTGGACCGAAAATATCGCCGCAGATCGGACGTCGACAACACGCTCTAAGCAGGGCAGCAGCAGAACAGGTACAGACAGACGATATCCCCGAACAATAACCCACGCCCCGCTCATTACCTGCAGCTGAAAACCTTCGACCCGGCGCCGACGCCGCAGCCGCACAGATCGCACGCGCAGCCGGGAACCGCCGCCGCCATCGTCAGCCCATGCCCACCGGGGCACGTCAGCGCAAGCGCGCTGCCGCTGCCGCTCCCGTCTCCTGCCGACGGCGTCAGGCTCCTCGCCGCGCAATCCAAGCACCCGTCGACGTCGCACGCCCGGCACCCTACGGCCGGGTAGCCGGGGGGAACGGACGCGCCGCACCAGTCGCAGGCAACTGGGAGACCGAAAGGCACGGTGTAGAGGGTCAGGCCGTGCCGCAGGCGGCAATCGAAGGAGTCGGACGACGTCTGCACGGCGGCCGCTTCCACCCACGCGAAAGCCCGCGGCAACGGGGCTTCTCCTACGTGCACGAGAGGGGGCGGTATGCTTTGGAACGGCGGCTGCTGCTGCGGCGGTGCCTCCGCCGGAGGCCGGGCCGCTGGGGTCGCCTTTTTCTTAGCTTTTGTCCCCTTCGTCTTCCCTGCTTCTCCTGCTGGTGCCGCCACTTTTTTCTTCACCTTCGCCTTCCCTTCTTCTCCTGCTGGTGCCGCCACTTTTTTCTTCACCTTCGCCTTCCCTCCTTCTCCTGCTGGTGCCGCCACTTTTTTCTTCACCTTCGTCTTCCCTGCTTCTCCTCCTGATGCCGCCACCTTTTTCTTCACTTTTTTCGTCCCCCCCGTCTCCTTTGTCCCCCCCTTAACCTTTTTCTTGACCTTTTTCTTGGGTTGTCCTGGCGCAGAGGCAGATCCGGATTCGAGGCCACCCCGGGGGGGGAGCTGCGGGGGGGGCGCTGGCGTTGTCGGTAGCCCGGAGCAAGTAGCGCAAGCGTCGCAATCGCATCGCCTGGATGATTTCAGGCGAAAACAATTGGGGGGCACAAAAAAAGGGGGGGGACAACATACGGCGGGATGGGTTGCGGCCATCGGAGATGTTACCAGGTGGCCGGCTGGCCGGCTGCCCGCAAGAACGAAACAAGGCGGAGGGGGGGGGGGGGGCGTACTCATTTGTTGCTTGCCGTAGTCATTTGACCATTGACGACGCGTCCCTTTCGAGACGGAGCACCGTTCCTACCCCTACTAGAGACACCACCAACATTTGGGAGCTCTTTACGTTTCTGCCACAAACTCCATAAAAATTCCTTGCACATCTTATCCCCCGTCCTCTAGGGCCTCTTGTGCCCACCATCTATCCCCAATTATCGCGATCGTTTTTTCGCTGTTGTCTAATTTACCAAACTTGTCCATGTCACACCCTCTCTGTCTCATTTCCTCCTCGAGATCCTCTCTTTCCTTCCTGTACAACTCACACTCCCCAACTATGTGGGGTCTACTCTCCTCCGATTTGCCACATGGACATGTGTGTCTATCCTCCTCTTCCTCTCTCCTACGGCTGGTATACCTCTTCCTCCGTTCTGGCAAGTCCAGATCGCCTACTCGAAATTGCAATTTCAGCTTTTTCGTGTAGTTCAGGGGGCCGTCCAAGTACGTCATCATCCCTATCCCTTTTTTCAATTTCCGGTATATCTCCAAGTGGTTTTCGGGGGGGGGGGGGAGGTGACGCACAATGATAATGAAGAGGTTGAGTTTGATTACTGAAGCCTGCCCGGATCTAACGGCGGCAAACCAGGAAAACAAACCCAGGTCGACACCCGACGTTGTTAACCATTATTCTCCCTCCGGTTATTTGTCCTTCCGCTGTGTGTGCTTTGTGTGTGTGTGTGTGGTAACTTTCATGTGAGCTGACCTGCAGCCCTTGGCAAAGAAGCCCGCCTGGATTGGAGTCCCGCAGAAGTCGCAGGCCATTCCGTTGTAGACGGCCACGTATTGGACCAGGCCGTGGTTGCCGCCGCAGTTGAAGCTGTCCTTGTCTCGACCCACCCTCCCCATCATCATCGCCGTCCATTCCTCGAACGATATTTGCCCTACGAAGGAAAAAAATGGCAAGTACAACCCAAGGTTTCCCAAATTATGGACGGGGAGATAAATAGATCAGCTCGCGAGAAATTTCTTGAACGAGGTTGCTTGCGCTAAATTTATCAACGAAACACAAAACGAAAAAATGACAAGTACAACCCAAGGTTTCCCAAAGCAGAGACACGGAGATAAATCAGCGTCGAGTAGAAGAGTTGTACTACAAAAAAGGTGACAAGCACAACCAGAGGTTTCCCAAAGCATGCACGGGGAGATAGATCAGCGCAGAGCAACAGCAGCAGCAGAAGCGGCAGGTTTCACGTTCTCATGGCCCTTGAGTTTTCGAAATAAATCATATTGTTGATCCGCCCACCGCAGCACCGACGTCTCCTCCTCGAACAAAATTCTGCCCTGACCGAAGGTAACTACGTACACGACTTTACGCGGGCGGAGCATACACAGAAGCGAGAACTTCAGGCCCTACTGTAGGGGCCGTTTTTTTGCACGCCGTAGCTGGTAGACTGTTGACCACGTGTCCTCTCGACAGGACGGAACATTGTTCCCACAGGACCGATCACCGATGGTCAGTCGTTCCGTCCTGCCTTGCCAAACGTGGCTCAAAAACGTTTTCGCTATCCGATCTATCCTGAGGGTTGAGGGGGGGGTACGGTCTCTTCCGTACCGTTTCCGTCTATGTCCGCCTGGAAGAAGGTGGTCTCGGCCACGCTCCTGGGAACCCCCTCCCGGCTGCAGAAGTACACGTATTCTTCGATCGAAATGCCTCCTGAACCATCGCTGTCGCACTGCAAAGTAAAGCCACGCACACGCATACAGCGAAAAGAGGCAAGGGCGCCACGAAGCTTGATCAGACGGGGAAAAAAACACACACACCAAAAACGCTTTGTACCTACAACACCCGCGGGTACGCCACGGGCTTAAGAAAAATACGACGCGCGAAAACGCTGCCGCGCTGAAAAACGAGTAGTACCATGTACGGAGAAACCGAGGTGAGAAGTGAAAAGCACATTCGGCGAGCAACTCTTCGCGGCGACAGCTCAAGATGCGTCGGGAGCAAGCACTGGAAGAAATGATGAGCGCCAACTTGGAAGGACCTTGGAATAAATCTGGACTCCCATGCCAGGACATCGTGAAACTGTTACTTCCGGTTTGTGGTCTCTTCGTACGATGCCTACTGGTATACGTACGTGTTGTCCTCGCCACAAGAACTCTCCCACCTTTCTCAACGTTCGAGGGAGGGGAGGTCCAACTCAATGTCTAATACCATCATCTGTAACCGGTTTCATAGCGAAGAAGTGGCATATTCGGTTACAACTCAACGACCCGCTTCACGTGACAAACGAAATAAAAAAAAAATCGCGGGTTTTCCACGTTCTCCCGAGAAGGATGCTCGGAAACTTCCGGCTCCAAGTGGACGACGACGCGCAACAATAAGAAAACACGTGTGTGGCACGTGTATGTAACGACTACTTGCTAAGAATACATGCCTCCGTGAACATGGTGTAGAGATGTTCCGCCGAGTCCATGGTCCTCCCATTCGTCTGGGTCTTTCCGTCACCGTTGAGCTGTTTCGAGAGCGCCGCCTGTACAACGTCAGAGGAGGCCGGTATTTGCATACACAGCGGTGGCAACAGAAACGCACGCCGCACGTGAAAATCAAAACCTGCGGCTTCAATAGCACTGAGGTCAAGCATATACATCTGGCCTTGATGGACGTAAATAGAAGAAAAAACACAGCCATCGTTCGTGGTTGCGTTAGGTTTCGACGAGAACATCCAGGTGGACGGACCCTGGGTGGCCTAGAGAGAAACAAGCGTGATCTGAGTTAAGCAAGAGCGTACGGGGTAGGACGCAACCAAGCCTAGGACGCGACCAAGCCGCACATGCGAAAAAAAACGGACGTCGTATGGTATGCATATCTACGCGCAATCTACTTGTATACAACTCTCACCGAGAATTGCGCGAAGTTCTTGACGTTCTTCCTGAAGGACTGGATGCCCCCGTACGCACTCACGACGGCCTCCACGGCTTCCAAGATCATTCCGGGGTTAGCGACCAGCCCCGCGCAGAGTCCTTGATCGAGGAGCTCCGCGGCGATCTCGGCCAAGGCGGTGACGTCACCGGAACACAGCTGTGCACAAGAAGCGCGGCCGTTCGCATGTATGTTTCGTTAGGGGATTGAATCGGATGGAGAGACTTGCCATGTCAATTCACGAAATCCCCCCCCTGGGCGCTGAATGCGGCAGCAACAACAACCGCAGCATGCTGCAACCGTGGATGGATGTGTGCCTTGCGTTTGATGATGGCGGTGTGTCACCCCGTGTGTCTATGCCACGGCCATGCTGGACTGAATGGAGCGGTTCTGAACAAGCGAGCTGTACCTGAGGTCCAACTCCTGTACGTATGGAACTTCTCCTTGTGCCCGGGTTGTCTCATTCCTGGGAGGAAAGTATCGGTGGCCTGATACCTCGGCCGCAGGGGTGTGTGCTCTGCCGTCGCAGCAGCACAAATACGTTCGTTCGTGATGAACGGAGCGGTTGCAGAGCCAAAGCCACCGGGACAACAATAACAACTGTTGCTACCCTGAGCGCCTGAAAGGTAAAAAAACCATCAACGGTTGCAAAGCTACCACTAACACCTCAACAACAATATTGTTAGCGCCTGAAAGGCCTCAGCGCTTTCAACGGTGGCAAAGCTATCGTACAACCACTGCAACAACAACAACAACAACAACAATGTTTGGTGTTACCCTGAGGGCCTGGAAGGCTTTGTAGCCCCAGTACGCGGCCGATCCACCATTCCTAAACTTGGAGAGCTGGCTGAGGTCCTTGGTCGGCCTCGCCAGCTTGTTGATGTTGGTGAACTTGTTCGTGGTCTTGGAAAGCTGCTTGGCGGCATTCATCGTCTCTGCTTGCTTCTCCCGCTGGCGAAGAAGGCGGAGAAGGACAAAAAGAACAGCCGCTGTACGGCAACGAGAAGAAAGAAGCACCGAAGGAAAAGTTCGGCAGGTTCCCGTGAGATCCCGGGGCCATAACGGCTCAAGGAATAAATTTGCGCAGCATATCAAACACGGTCCTGTTATTGGGCTATGTACCAAAGTCGCTAAGACAAGTTTCACGTGTCCCAAATACACAAATCTGGCGTTGACTATCCACACCGAGAGGGCTGCCAAGTGATTTACTGTGTACGCGTGTGCATGCTTACCTGCTTTTTTCTTTTTGCATCTTCAATTTCCATGGACGACCGCGCTAACCGGCTGGCCAATGAAAGACGTTAGCACCCGCACTTTTAAGAACGTGGTAGCAAAGGAATTGAGCCCCGAAAAACTCAGTATCTGCTCGTTGAGTCCTCTCAGTCAGGTCCACACAAACCACAAGTACAATCAGTTGTAGCGATGTTGGTTCCGACGCGGTTCGAGGTGTTGAAGTCCACACGCATCCACAGCAGAAATAATGGTAGTGGGACCTCAAAACCTTTCTGATGCTGGCTCTAAAATCATACCTCCATCCAATGTTGAACAAAAAAAACTTCCTCCCGTTTCTAACTGTACCGAAGTACTGCTGTTATCAGTAGAGGACACCATGAATAGGTGTCGTATGTGCTGGCACGTTCAGGTTTGCTTCTTGAGTAGTAGTGATACCGAGGACCGTAACGTACATATGCAGTAATGGCCTATGCATACAATCTCTGCAAAATTGACCGACACCCAGTGTCTTGTACTGCTTGTGCTCACCGCCGCACACCGTAAACCCCTTATCGGCGGGTCGTTCGCAGCATTAGCCATTTGGTGACATCAGCAACTGCTTTCAACCCGCAGTTGAGGATATTGGGATTCGTGGTGGCGAGCACAAGCAGCACAAGACAACACTGGGTGTCGGTCAAACTTGCGGAGATTGTAGGCCATTTCTACGATCAATCCTTGACATTATCACCCAAGAAGCAAACTTGATCGTGCCAGCACCCACGACACCTCTTTCGTAGTGTCCTCTACCGATAACAGTACTTAGGTGCAGTAAGAATGCTAAACTTCTTTGAGCGCCTGCGTTTGGGCTCTCTCGACTTGAATTTAGAGTTGTGTCATTTATCTTGATTTCAAAGGAGGGCGTGTGGAGGTAGGCTCATGAGATGTATGTACTGCTGTATTGAGCAGCCTCTACTGCCGCGCAGTGCGAGAACCAACGATTTCTGGTTGTCCTGATGCCTTCCGACTTGCCTGTCTGTATGTCTCGTGCATTTTCTGGTGCTCTTGCGGCTTCTTTCAAAACACCTCCTACATACCGCGCCGAGAAATACACCGCCGCCGTGTATGGCGTCACTGCTGAAAATAAATGTGTTGGTCAACCAACATCAAGTTAGGTTGGGTTCCCCCCCAGCACCCCCGCCTGTTTGCATCCGCTTTGCACGTCACGCCCGGTTGTGTTGAACAAAACCTACGCTGGAGTCACATATGGTACCATCACTCTGTGTGGTTTTTGGGCTCGAGAGAGGAGGTCAGTGAGCCGCGTGTTCATGCACGAACGAATGCAGCGGTACTGCTGTAGTACATGGTACGCTATAGATAGCATCCTTAAGTTTGGCACATTCTGCAGGCAACGGGAGCTCGGCGTTACGATGTGCATCAAGGATTATTGCCCCCACAGCAGTGTGCCGATCGGGTCCTCGTGAGCATCTAGACTACATGGAAACTATGTATGTGACATCCGTGGGAAGGGGCGCGCGAGAGAGAGGGGACCGACTCCTTTGTGTACGGTTATGTAGGAAGCGAGCAGCAACCAACATCCACGCCTTGTATGCTATGGCAGGACAAGCCGGAAGTGGGACACGGTGACACGGCCATCGCCGTTCGGAAATAAAGCTTTGCGCGTGCACCATACCGCACACGACTGCCCGTTTGTTTGGAGCTGAACGCTCTACACTGCATACAGATGCCATGCGTAGAAAAGGCGGACAGAAGAGAGGGAGAGAAAGCGGAGATGGACATCACAGACGGAGGGAGAGAAGAGAGAGCGGGCACCACGAGAGAGGGCTATCGTGTAGCGAATTCGCAAGCTACGCTACACAGCAGTAGTCTGCCCCGCCCATTCCATAGAAGCGAGAGAGCGGGCGCGGGGGAACGGGAGAAGGAGTTGCGGGTGTCGTCAGGAACCCGGACCACGGACAACGTCTGTCTGTCGGATGCATACTGCTGTGGTGGAGGCCAAAAGAGAACACGATGTTATATGCGTGGGTACTCACGTTGGATGAGGTCGGCGAGAGGAAGACTTCCCAACCCAGAGGGCTCTTCTTCTGCGCAATGAATCGCTGGATACGGAAGTATCAAGTGCACCTATACAAGCGGGCGTAGGTCCACTCTCTCATTCAAGCTGCCGCTTGCTGCCGTTACCGCATGCGTGGTGGTGCCCTGTGGACTGCAGCAGTTTCTGTGTTAGGTGCTTACAACTGCCACAAGAAGTGGTTTCCAAACGAAATAAATTTCAAAGAATGTTCCACGCGGCCATATGTGAGCATGTGAGAGTTGAAAATGTGGATGTGGAACCGAGTTAGTTGCACGTCGGGGGGAAGATATGTACGTTTAGATACGCATTCATGTGCTCATGTGCTTGACTGCCTGCCCTCTTGCGGCGACCGTAACCGTATCATATGGTATGGAGCAAGCGAACTTCATTCCGTGCTGGTTGTGCTGGTGGTGTGGGATCTTGTGCATCTGCGTGCCCCCTAGCCTGTGCGCTCTGCACTCTGCGCTGTGCGCCCTCGCACCTGTGGGTACTACTGCTGTCGCCTTTGTACGCTGTGCTGTGTTGCGTACCAGGGAAAGCACGATGAACTCGCCCTCAGGGGAGGCCGTAGACCTAGACCATGCGTCTTTCCGGCAGCAGGGTTCGCTGTAGCGACCATGTAGAAAGAGAAGCGACAGCGAAGGTGGTGTGGAGTGGATTTGCTCCTGCTGTGGGCAAGAACTCGGCGATGGTTCTGGGGTTGACGCGGCGACGTCTGTACAACACGAGCTCTCGGACAAGCGCAAAGAGTGAGTAGTGCGGAGGAGTGACGGCTTTGGGGGTGTTGTTTTACGGTGAACGCTGCCTCTTGCAATATTCTCTGGACGCCTCTAGCATGAGAACCGATTTTGTAGTATACCACACCAAACCGCCGCGTGATTACCGTTGGTGACACAAGATACCATACCCCCCTCGAACGATTTTCAAAGCTCGACTACTGGTACTATACTCCGCAGTAGAAAGAGTGGCGGTGCCGGTGAAACCGTCTCGTCGAGGTCTTTCCGAAAAAAAAGTCATGTGATTTTGACATTCTCTTCGTCGTGGGTGTAACATGTACAATCTATGTACACAGTCCAGCGGCGACCACGCTCGGGGGGGGTGGTATCTTGTGTCACCAACGGTACCGCTACGGTGGTCGCGTACAGCAGCAGTAGCTTTGGTCTAGGGCCATGAGGCTGATGAGCGCTGGCTACCCCTAACCCTAAGCTTGAACAGACCGTTGCATCGACGCAGTCTATTCCGGCAGCAGCAGCGGCAGCAACAGCGGCAACAGCGGCAGCTGGTGTACAGTATTTATTTGTTTATTTATTTTTCTTCACTTCAAATCAGCGCTCACAGCACTAGTTAGTGCCGTTTACTCCAACCCGTCGTCACACAGAAGAGCACCTCTCTACCCTCCCCTCCTGCGGTACTTTGCCTTCGATTTTTATTGCGAGGAGAGTTCAGCACTCTCTTCCCTCCGTGTACACACGAACTAGCGCTATCCACTAGGCCAGAAGCGGAAGCGAGAGAAAAGAGAAATACTCAATTTGTAAGAAAAGCTCGCTTACGCCGGGATTCGAACCCCTGACCTGACCTCTAGAAGGTTTCGAGGATACCAACAAGACCACCGGGGCGACCGGCTATTGCACGGACGGGAAGAAAGTGCGCGCAAACAAACAATACGGAACATTCCACGGGTAACGCTCCAACTACAGATGCAACTGTTTGTTGTTCGTACGTCTACACTACAGCAGCAGTAGATCTATAGCTTGAATGCCAAGAGGTTGGGCCTTGTTGACACTGGCCGTACCTTCCCTCTTCGACAACCCTACTGCATGACGTGAGCAGCCACATCGAGGCGGAGAAGGAACCAGCTCCTCCTGTTCCACGCGTCGCCGCGAAGAACAAGAGTGGCAAACGGACTTGCGAGTGCGGGAAAGATCTCGGGTCCGGTCCCACCCGGCGGGCCGCAGCACACGTGCAGCAGCACCACGAGGGCTCACAGGATCACCAGTGAGTACACGTGTAAAAGTTTCCGTGAATGAAACAGTAGTGCTTGCTGATGCACGACTCGACCCCACCGAAAAAATTCAAGTGCATAGCTACATACACGAGATTTGCAGACAGACGTGCTTACAGCAGTCGAAAAAACGGCGTTGTTTGCATGATCAGGTGAGCCTTGAAAGCGACGGCGAGAAGCAGGACAGATACGATAACTGCAAGACAGCCCGTTCGAGGAAAGAATACCACAGCATTCAAAGAAATGTGTTGTCAGAAGTGAGTAGGAAAAGGCCTTCTTTAGCCTTCTTCGGTAACTTATTTCCCCCCGAGACCTTGAAAAGGCTCGCCTGGTCTGTCTCAACAGCGTCCGTCGTAGGTCCTGCCGTCTACGTAGAACCATCAACGATCACGTCGCCACGTTTTGTCCTTAGCGTGTTGTTTTGCCCCGAGATCTTGAGAAGGCTGTCCTTTCTCAACTACGTCTCCGCTGCCGTTTTTGTAGAGCCATGACCGATCACCTCGCGACAACGGAGACGCTAGAATAGCGCGTATGCAAACATGAACTTGTTTTGCTTTTTGGAAAGGAACAGTGTGAAAGAAAAGGCACGCACTGCAGTGTAGCGGTTCTGCTCGTTCGTCTAGACACCAGGAACAAAAATTGGACTATATATATATGTATCGCGCTCGCAACCCTGTACGCTTGATGCGCCTCCCTCCCTCCCTCTCAGGAATGAGAACCACGAGGTCAACCGTTTGCTAGCCAAGCCCTCCAACTTTAAGGCCTGGACCAGAGTATCAGACCACCCGGATACCCTGGCGCTAGCCAAGAGCATCGGCGACTACCTCGGGTCATTGTTGCTCTGGTGGCGAGAGAGGGGCCCCGCGTTTCGCTTTTTTTTTTGCACGGTGGGGCAGTGTGCTCGGCTGGGGGTACAGCGGAGGCAGGCACGCGCGCGCGTGCGGAGGAGGGGATTCGCGGATGTATTCGAGGATGGGGGGGGGGGGTCTGGATGATGATGAGGCGTGTTGCGCGGTGGGTGTTTCTGGCGAGGGGTGTTGGTCGTTCGAGATAATAGTGCGTGGGGGAGGAAGGGAGGGGGCCCCGCGCAGGAAAAATGAAACCGCGGTGCACATTGTTTACCCCTTTCTCGCACAAGCTGATGCTGGAATGGATGGAAAGTGTCTCATCTTGCCGCCGCTTCCGCTGCTGCTGCAGACACAGCTTTGGCCTTCGGTTCGGACGAGCAGCGGTCGCCGTGGGGTTGTCATTAGTCGTTGCATGGATGTTTTTTCTTTAGGGGAAGGGAGAGGAGGGGGAGCAGCGACAATAGGTTGCGATGTTGTGATGAAAAGTCGTGCTGCTGGTCTAAAGTTAGTTGCGGGTATGTAGGTAATGAACACCGGGGATTTTGTAGATACATGTAGATAATTCATTGTGTTTTTTCAGAGGGTGTACCACTGCTGATGTGACTTGTTGAAGGGAGGAGCGAGAAGCAAGAGATGAAGAGAAAAGGGTGCCGCTTCAAATGCTTTTTTCTTGGCCGACACACGTACGTCTGGCACACGCGGCAGCCCGCGAAACACACCCGACAGCAGAGTGTGTCGTTTTCGTAACTAAAGAGTAGAGGTATAGAGTGAGACTTGCATTCTGATAAGGCAAGCAAGTAGCAGAGCTGAGTTAGGTTCGGTTCGCCTCCGTTTACGGCCGCGAGTCGACGTAGTACTCGGCATGGCAGAGGCTATGTAGAGGTGCCCAATATGTGATTTTCCATGTGCAGAATTTTCAGCTCCCGTCAGAATTGCGGCGCGATTGACTGCGCACCCGCTTTTGCCGCGGCCGTTACTACCAGTGAGGTAGAGGATAGAAAGGTTGGGCCGTCGATCGAAACTCGGGATGAGCGTAACGACGAGCCTTTCCGGCGCGCGTTGAACGGCCGGCGGCTGGCTGGCTCCACATCCGTGTGGGTTCCTAAAATTGAGAGCTTGTAAGCAATCAACGATGAACGAGCGAACGCTGTGCGTGCGTGGCTTTCCGTTCCCTGGCCCAATTGTTTTTTTTAAGAGTTGAGTAAATAAATGAAAATAAATGCTCAAAATTAACAATCGGTGCAGATTGATGCGAAGAGAGCGGTGGATGCGTTCATGTGCACTTGGTTGCTGCTTTTCCGATGAACGCATCCACTGGGCTCGTGGCCGGCGTTTGTGATGCCGCCTTTTTGATCGCTGGATATGTAAAGAAGAAGTCCCTTGTGGTCATCATGCCTGCTGTCCTCACGGGGCAGAGGTGTGTGCTCTGCTGCTTCTCTGGGCTCGTCGGTTGTTCTGAGAATTTATTCGAGGATGTGGTATGGTTTCTCCACCATCATGTTCTAACTCGAGTGACAGCAGTGAAGTGTAGCGCCAGGTCAGACAGGTTTTATGTGCACCACACACGATGCATACGTCACTGAATCAAGAGCGAAAAAAATGCCGGAAAAAAAAAAGCTTATTTTGGGCTCTCCCGGGGGGGGGTACGTAGGTGTGCGGAGTAACTTTTTCCGGGCACCCTTGGGTAACCCTTTGACCCTCTGGTCGAAACTGATGGTTTCATATCCGGCAGCCACGAGTACTTGAATACAAGCTGGTTCACGCAAGAAACCCCAAATTTGTTCCCCCAAAGATACAAATACTCACCAATCAACACATATTTTTTACCACAGTGACCCCCACGCTTAGCCTAAGACCGTGACATAGCTGGAATTTCCGAGAACACTTTTCTACGGTGGTTAGGCGCACCAATGTGTCTTGGCCAATCAGCGGCCTTCACGCTGTTTGAGAACAACTGTAAATACCAATGCAACACGAACCTTCTTCGGCCGGAGTTCAACCTCAAATGACCTTCGAGCTCTAGGGAATCAAAAAAAAAAAAATAGAAGTGAAAACGGCCACCGTTGGAGCCAGTTACGCCCCACAAGGTGGGATTCCGGTGTTGTGGACCTTCGGCGTCGTCAGATGGCCACCGTTTGTACGGAGCAACCGCCCAGGAAGCATCGAAACGGTTTCCGTCGTATATATCTGAGGAAAGCTTGGATCGTCCCCAAGTTTGGCAGCTTGACAGGTATTGACGCTACCCATCCGAAAAAATATGCTTGAACACTATTCACAAAGTTTTCCCGCTCCTACAAGTAAACCGGCTTATCGGGGTCTAACGGATAGGACCCCCGGAAGCCGGTATATATATATATATGTCTTAAATAAAAAAAACAATTCGGTCGGCTCCGTCCGGTGTAGGGTGTTGAAGGATTGTACAAAGTTTCGTTGCCCAAGGGGCGAAACTGAGATAGAGCGGTCGATTCGAACTTAAAGTTGTGCCCCAAAAGCTCCATTATTACGGTATTAGTCTAAATCGAAGTAAATAACGGGTTCGCAGAGGAAATTTCAGGTTCTTGATAAAAAGCAAATCCTTCGTTCGGGTTTCTGGAGATGAGTCACCAAATTTTGCACACTTGTCCGCAAGATCGATATCAAACTTTTTTACGAATGGGGTTTTCGTATTGTTTTTTTATTCGCCGAATATTCAGGGTCCAGCGCAGCCTTTCTGTTTTAGGAACGTGCGGGACCCCGATTATTCGGCAAATAAAAAAAATCGAAAAAAAACACTCGTGAAAAGTTTGGTATCGACCTTGCGGACAAGTGTGCAAAATTTGGTGACCTGTTGTATCTCCAAAAAACCGAACGAAGGATTTGCGGGGAACAAATTTTGTTTATCTTGCGTGAACAAGCTTGTACTTCCAAGTACTTCGATACCGTAAGGGACTTCGATCTTTGCGAGCTTCTACGCAACAGGCGCGCCACACACAGTGTTAAAGCGTGTGTGATATTCTTGGAGAGTCTTTGTCTTTGTCTTCTTCACATACAAAACCGTTCCGTTCTCTCTGCCCAGTACCTTCTTCTGTCCGTACTAGTCTAACACTTGACGGGGTCGATTCCCGTGGTCACAGGCTAACTTACCCAAAAAAGGTATACGAAAATAAAATGGACCCGACTGAGAGTATAGCATGTTAATTCTGCATAGGCCAGGTGGAAAAATCCTACATGGAGCTGTAGTTCATAAGAACATTTCGCTCTCTACTGCGGGCGTTCCTACCACTGTTGCTCAGCGGACATGCTACATAGGGGCTGGCCTCTGGGACCAAAGCCTACAAGCTCACAGGACGATACAGCATAAAACAACCCCCTAGAGCACTTTCCAGCTCCACGTGCCACAAAAGTCAACCCTACCTCGACCAATCCGCCCTCGAACCTGACAGGCCGGGCGATTGTTGGCCTCAGATGTAGTTGTGTATTTCGGGTGGCTATGGGCGCGAAGGGCCTTCAGAACCACGACAGAGCTTTACCGGGCAAAAAATGCTGAGCGGCGTTTTCACAGGCCAATGCCGTGTTCTAGTAAAAGTGCATCGATGTCACACTCGCCCTATCCGTGTTGGAAATCCAAAACACACCCATGGTAACACCCAACAATAAAACTCGAAATCAATGCTCCTCTCTAACGTTACATGAAACATGAAAATGTATATTTTCCAAAAAAGAAAATACAACACCCGGTCGATCTTCTGCCTCGTACCACCCTTTGTATCACCGGTTGGGAATGGTGCTTCCCGTAGAGAGACCCCCCCCCCCCCCCCCCCCCTCGGCAAGCGAAAAACGACCATGAAAAAGGGATTCGAGATAAGAATGACATGGAGATATCACTACGACACTAAATATTGGATGCAAGCACGCCAGGAGAACCGGTATTAACTGGTGCAGTGGCCGTGCTGCTTGGGTCTTTTTGCATGCATCCACTCTTTCTTCCCGAGAACAAGAACAACAGAAATACGTGACAAAATGGACCAGGCAACTTCACCACTGCTATGTACTTAATTAACCAAGCCCGCACGAAAAAACGATCAAAACAAATACGAGAAAGGAAACAGCGTTTTCTAGATGAAATCTAGATAAACACGTCACGCAGAGAAAAAGCAACCAAACGCGACGCCTCCCCCCTTCCGGCCGTCGCAGGAACACCCAGCCCACGAAAATCGCAACAACGATGGCCCTCACTGTCGAAAAGACCAACGAGATCGCACAAATACGAGACACGTCTACCGAGTTATCGTAACGCATGTGCCAGAGGAAACCATCTGGTCCAAACAAGCAACCGCCACACGTCTACCTCACACGGGCGGCGACTGGGCGATGGCCCCGCGCCGCCGTGTGATACGCCATCTAAACAGTGCATCCCTACGAAAACGTAGCACGATCCCGTTCGGGAATGTAGGGACCATTTGTGGTATTCGCGCTTGTATCCGTGCGGTATTCTTGTATACGAATGGCCCGTGTATCAGTCTAGTCAGTGGCCACCCGCCCTCTGCGGCCTCGCGCGTCCCCTGCTTCCCTCACACGTCCCGCACCAGCAAGCAGCACGGTTCCTCCTCCCTCCGCTCCGGGTGCACATCTCTAAGACAACGGCTTCCGACCTGTGACCTCGTCCCTCGGAACGCCCATCTCCACAAAAAAATCTTGTCAGACAGCATCAATCAAGACGTCTCCCCCCGCCCTCGACTTCCTGCACTCCGTGGCAAAGCACCGTTTTTTTTTGTATTTACGCCGCTACATATGTATCTCATCACGCGGCGTGATCTCTCCCCAGCCCCGCCCACCGCAGAACCCCGCTTCTTCTCCGGTAGAACAGCACGTATGGCTCGCTGCTGGGGCCCTTGTCGGGCGCTGATCAAACCACGGCGCCCCCGGCGGAAAGAACAGAGCCAGTTCGGGAGAGCGAGCGAGCAAGCGAGCCGCCAAAAAAAGGCCGAAAACGTGGCGGCGATAAAGTGACACCGATCGCAACAAAAAGGGGGTCGGTCAGTCAGTGCGTACATACATACTATTACATACGGCGGGACACGTTGCATACTGACGCTGTAGCGTCACCACGGGCGATGACAGTTGCGGTCCGCTAAAGATGTGAGAGAAAAAAGAAAGGAGCTTCGCGGACAAATATGCAGGCGGACTTGTGTTTTTTTTGTTTTTTGTATGTATTCGTCCCATTCTTACTAAGGCGCCGGTTTGCAGGCCTTTCGGCGCATGTATCTGACGTATCAGCCGGGGTCGCACAAGAGGAAGGTCACACACAGCAGCTTTTTTCACAACTTAATTTTTTTTGCAGGAAATATACATCCAGTCACAGAAAGACTATCCGTTCGACATAACACCACAGCATAATCGTCGAACAGGATGTCTTCAAGTTACTACAGTGGGCCTTTTTTCGTCACCAACACAGATTGAGCCGGGACTCCCGTGCGGCGGGCGGAGGCTGTTGCGAACTTTCTCTCTCTCTGCGAACACCAAACAAACTTTCTTCGAAGAACGGCGGGATATTCGTTTCTGGGGCGTTGTGCCGAAGTGGGCTTGAAACAACAATTCATCTATCCGGGGCAGTCCCCGCCGCAACCCGTCGCCTTTAAGGCATCTGCGTCTATGAACGAAACAAGGAAAAGTTGTACTGATGGGCATCGATCACATCCTCTTGTAGCAGAGTAAGTCTACCAGAAACTCCACTGTTTTCAGTGAGTGATCGTATGTAAATATTGTCCACAACAAGAAACTGACCGCAACACATCCATGTTGTACGTAGCACACTCGTTCTACCCGAAACAAAAATGTATTCAATGATTTGCATGGCATTTCTTGTAAAAAAAAAAAAAAACGGAACATATGTTGGCGTGGTAGGCCAACATCCATCTTGTAGCATACACCATTTCTATGCGGCAGAAAAAAAAAAAACTGCCAGCGCATCATGTCATGGCACGAGTTCTCACTTGTGGGGCTGACGTGCGAGTCGTTGAAGCTGTACCACTTCTTGTCCTCGGAGTTCTGCGCGATGGCGGTGTAGTGCCCGGCGCGAAGGCTGCCAGAGTGCTCCTGCGGTTGTAAGACGGACGGACGGGGTGGCAACGTGGCCAACAGCCGGAAGCATCCGGTCAGCTATACAAAAGGGAACAGTGAGGAACGCTACTTTGTTGTAGTTGTTGTTGATGATGATGATGTTTCTTGAGTGGCGAGTTCTGCATGCAGCAAAGCTGCCGCATAAGCAAACCTCATCAAACCTCCGGAGACGTCAAACCCAGTCAAACAAAAAGCATCACCGCCAAGGTAGCCGCCAACTCTCCCTTTGCCTGGTGCCGGTGCAGAGGGAGATAGATTACTACGGCCTGGAGGCTACGGGAACTCGAAACAACGGTACCCCCCCCGGCCCGCCCCCCCCCAAAGGCTACCGCTTGACTGGTGCACATCGTACCGACACGGCGAAAAGGTCGTAGACGGGAGGGGCTTCCTTGAAGATTGGCCCGCCCGCGCGCTGTATGTTCCTGCAGACCACCAAGTTTGCAGACAGAACAACCAAAAGGGGAAAAGATGACAAAAAAAGCCCCGGCGGGAAGAGGAGAGAGAACTCGTGAGTGAGTGAGTGAGTGAGTGAGTGAGTGAGTGACACAGGCTTTGACCGTCTCTACCAAAAATTAGCAGATTGGTTAGGGCGATCAACTCTCGTAAATAGCGAGGTCAAGCCCCTTTTGGGGGTAGGCCAACTCATGCACGCGACGAGCTGGAACACACCACCATTGACGCATAAACACCAAACACATTCGAGCCTCTCGCTCCGTGGCGAGGGGGGGGGGGGGGGGGTCAGACGGTTGAGGACGAATTGGTAACACATCTCATGAGGTCAAGAGGCCCCTCCAGTGGGTACAAACCGAAGGTCGAGCCAGTCTCTGTGGCTGAAAAAACAAACCACACTTCCTATAAACGCCGCTTTCTCTTTCGAGTTCAAGCGCGTCAACACAAGGAACGCTCGGAACAAGCGCACATGCACGCCACAACGCATTAAGCACCCACGCCGCACCTGGTGAGGTCGAGCCCCTCTATGGGGAAGCTAACGTGCGTGTCGAGTTTCTGGCGGTAGACAGTCAGAGCGCCCGGCGTGAATAGGAACCTCTTGAGGACCACGATCAGCACGTCCGGGGCGGAGTAGACGTCAAGTTTCTTGGAAGCCTGTTGGGAGAGAGAGGAGATAGCGAGAGACAGAGGATGATAAACGGGGGGCAGGGGGGGAGGCATGTGAAATCATGAAACACACATGGACGTCCGCCCCGTTTCTTCGCAGGCGAGGCGGAGGAGATGGAACAACAAAGGCATTTCGGCGAAAGCAATACCTTAAAAATAGGGTTGGGTGTATTGTTGGGTTGATGTGTTGGGTATGATTAAATGCTCAGCGTTGGGGACGCAATATCCAAGAGCGCTCGGACTTCCAACGCAAGAAGCAAAAAGCAACCAAAACACAAAACAGCCAGCAGAGCACGGACGAGTCCCCCGTCACGTGAAACGCCGCATCGCGCACAAACAAGAACCATCATCGCGGGGAAAAATGAAACGCCACAACGACGCTCCCGTTTTTCGCAGCACCACCGACTGTCTGCCTATCTCTCTATCTAGCCCCCCTTGCCCCCCCCCCCGCTCTCTAGCAGGATGCAGCCCACCCTTCATGCGACACGCCCAATCCCTCTTCGCGCTTGGTGATGTGATGTGATGTGAGAGCCTGGTGCGGTGAGGACCCGGCGTGCTCCGTCTCGACTTCGTAGGGATGCGAGGTCAATGGCGTAACAACTACGGCATGCACGACCATGAGTAACCCCCCCCCCCCACCCCACCTACATCTT